CTATGCCACTAGAAATACATAATTTCACTTTCCAGTCTGATGTCAGATTATAAAATTTTTTACATTCACTGATCTCATTTGATTCAGAAGATGATTGGGTTGTTAAAATGACATTATCTAATTTATCTACCCCCCGTTTTATATATGAGGAAATTAAAACCTGAAAAAGATGCTTAAGCTTCAACAAGATGTCAGTGACAAAAGTCCAAACGAAAATACAAGTTCCATTATCATAATATTTTGTTAAGGAAGTTGGTTGCATTGCCCAATTGTGTCCATTCATCTCTTTGCACACCATCAGAACTCTGTCCTTCTAAAATGATTATCAACCTGAAAAGTAATGGAATAACTGAGAGTAAGCTGCTAATCCATGTTTTTGGCAATGGGGAAACAAAAATCCAATCAGAATGAAAACTGTTAAAACCTAGCCTATAACAGCAATAACTAAAACATTTCCCATATTTCTAAATCTCAATCTCCATTTTCTGAACTTCCCAAGTTCATTTTCTGAACTACCTTAATGCAAGTCTGTCGATTAGCTGAGCGCTATCCTTAAAACTCATGTTATGCAAACACACTGTTTCAGCATGAGTGGACTCAGAGCTCCCGCTGTACAGTCAAAAGCAATTGGTACATCCTTGCAGGAGGATGATTTCACAAGGAGGTTATCCAAGCTTTAAGTGTAGAGCTATGACCATTCCTCCCTGGGTTATGGCTTAGCCTGGCTGTCTGTGGTCATGGATCCCACTAAGTACACATCCTCTGAGATGAGATGACCTCGTTTTCAGACACAGCTACTAAAAGTACATGTCACATACAGGTAATTCTCTACCTCTAAGAGATCAGAAATACCATTCTTTGGCTTCAGACTTGTAAATCTTGAGTGCTATTTCTTAGATAACAGAACCAGAGATTCCTAGGCCATGTTTTCTTTTCCAAATTTTATCATGGAAATTTTCAAACATACAGACAAGTTGAAAGAAGAGCATGACAAACACCTATGTACCCACCATGAAATTCAACAAGCATTAATATTTTGCATACTACTTTATCTTTAATGTTTTAATACCTAAAAATTTCACTAAGAAAACTCTACAAAAGAGGCTTACTCAGATTCTCTGAATGACTTCCCCTCCAGCCCCCTCATCCCTGCCAATCTTTGTGCATCTCAACAGAAGAAGCATTTAAGTCCTTAAATGATTTTACCTTGAACATGCATGACATTCGGCCCAGAGGACTTGTTCTACCTAATTTATTGGTCACTGCCTTATATTTAAAGTCTTCCTTGAACCAGCTTTCTATGTCTAGATCTTCATGATTGCCTTTCAATTCTCCTTATTCCGACTGATGAACCTTGCCCGGACCAACTTCTTTGCAATGATCTTGTCTGTGCCCCAGGATTCCACACAGCAAAAATCATCCCTTAGTAAACTGGGAATGGTGTGACTCTCAGAACTTAAAGATGCATCTTCCATAGATGACTCAGGACTGCTGTTCTCTAGGGCTTTATGCTATCAATCAAAAACAAAGTCTGGGGCTTCCCTGGTGGTGCAGTGGTTGAGAGTCCGCCTGCCGATGCAGGGGACACGGGTTCGTGTCCCGCTCCAGGAAGATCCCACATGCCGCAGAGTGGCTGGGTCCGTGAGCCATGGCCGCTAAGCCTGCACGTCCGGAGCCTGTGCTCCGCAACGGGAGAGGCCACAACAGTGAGAGGCCCGCGTACCGCAAAAAAAAAAAAAAAAGTCTGTATCTATGGATCTAATGCAAGCTGTTTCCATATCACTTTCTTTACCTTCTTTTTTTCCCTTGCATGCTCTCAGGTGATTTCTACTATTCTTTATTTCCATTTGCCAGTACCTAAGGAGTAGGACAGAATGATAATGAAGAGCAACATCTTTGTATTCAAACTATTACACTTTCCAGTGCCGTAGCTGTGTAACTTGGTACACAAGTTCCTTAATTTCTTCATGTAAAACAGAAAAACCAACCAACCAATAGCGCCCAGTTTGTAGGAATAAAGTCAATTTTAAATGAGATAATATAAGCAATGCTCTGGCACAGTGACATGTACAGGCTAAGTCCTTTAATGTGTACCAACTACTAATATTAATACTATTACTCTTCTAAACACTGTTTGAATGCAGCCACTACTGAACATAGAAACAAGAAAAATTTCTTAGCAGACTATCAGTAACAGAGAATGACTGGGATAGCAGAGTGGGTAAGTAGGAGAAGGAACTAAGTAGATCTGAATCAATCCAGCAGCAGCAATTTTAATTGAATTCCTTTTACTTTTTATTGCAAATGAAACTTCTGCTGTTGAAAAGGAATATTTGGCCTGCACTAAATTTCAGCTGTGAAATAAACTGTTCTATTTATCAGTAAAAACTGGAATGGGATATTTACAAATTTCCTGAAAAACCTCTTATCAATTTCAAAACTCAGGATTAACTACACAACTGAGAGAACAATCACAATCCATGAATCTTCTTCTTTGTCCAGGAGTGTTAATTTTATGCACGTCAGATGTGTTCAGGAACCTGCACATTTTGCCATTAGCCCTTATTGGAAGTGGGGCTGAGAGGGTGATGATTTACAGTAATACTGTGCAATTGGTCTTAATGACAAGAATGAACAGCCACCACCTTTTTTTGTCTGATTATTGGCTTAATGATTAGAAGCCATATTTATCATCTATATTGGCCCTCTCTTGTCCCTCTCAAAGACGTCTGATTGTTGATTTTTTTCCACCCATCCAACTTTGCATATGTACATTCAAAATTCATTGACAATCTTTACTGAGTTTATTTACAGTGTAGGTGCTTTGTCAGTGCTAGTTGTAACAAAGAGAATACAACTGGTTTTCTGCTCTAAATGTGGGTATCACCAAAAAAAGGAAAACACAATGTAATGTCTACAAGATTGCTGTGAAGAGTTGATGGGCAAAATGTATCCAGCACTGGGTCTGATGCTTAGCCAAGACTTGCTACTTGCCAGGCCTCTCCCCGCTCACTCCCTGCCAAATGAGTAACTTATTATTTCTGTGCTTCTCTCTGCCTTCTTCAGGATTCTGACTTCTTTCTGTGCTTAACTCTTAAAACGTGTGAACTACAACCTCTTTGCATTCCTCCACTGCCCATGTGGTCACCATCTCATCAAGGTCTTTGTGATACCACATTTTCATTACAGCCACTATTGAACATAGACACAAGCAATAAATTGTAGTGGATTCCAAGCAATAAGTTTAGCACAAGGTATCTGCTAAGATAATTCTTTCTATAAGTACTTTCAAATTCCACCACTTTGGTGGAGTATTTGCAGACACTGCCAGTCAACTTATTTTTGTCTTTCCGCTATTTCTCTTTTTCCCTAAGGCCTGTATGTGAGCAGTGCCTGTATCCAATTCATCTCTTTACTTCCAATGGCTGACACAGCATACAAACATGCTCTCTCTTGGCCTCAGTTTCTCCCTCCCTTGACAAACAAATGCCATTTTCTCTACAAACAGGATAAACAAACAAAGAAGCTGGCTTATAAGGATCTAAGACAATGCACCAGTCAGGAACGATGAACACAGCAGATAATGAAAATTAGATATAACAGATAAGAAAACTGTGGGAGTGAGAGGCAACCTAGGTAATGGTTAAGAGCTCTGGCTCTGAACTTAGAACAGGACTCAGATCCCATCTTCACTGCTTACTTTCTCTGTGATCTTAGACAAGTTACACCAGCCTTCATTTGAAATAAAGATCATAACAGTTTTAACTTATGAGGTTATTATAAGTTATTGTAACTGCAATAATACATGGAGTGCACTCACTAATGTCTGACCCCAACAAGTGTTCAATAAATTAATAATAATATTGTTATCATTATTATGATAAAGTCACCACATGTTCACGTAAAACAGAATATATCAGAGACAACTGAACATTTCAGAATAGAGTCTTCCCCAATAATGCAGAGGAATTCTTTACATTGCAATGTTTTCAGAGTAAGACAGATATCTTTTTTCTTCATCTTTTTTCCAGGGAACCATCTAATACAAAATAAACTTTAAAAGAAGAAACTGTCATATTTCACAATTCATCCTCCAAAGAGCAGAGCATCACAATTCTTCTCTGATAGAAAGGTACATTTAATAGTGTAAATTCATTATTAATAAATCTGAGATGATGGCTATTTATTTGCAAGTCTGATTGCTCCTTGGAGGTAAGAGGGCAAAAAAAGCCTTCCTGTTCTCAGAGGACCAGACCCAGTTCATAGAGCTGAGGAACAATTTATGAAACAGAATATCTGCCACATTCAAACAAGGATTTGGCACTCATAATTTTTTTCCACTTTAAAGAGACCCTGTGTCTAAGCTATTTTGATATTGTTTATTCCTACTCCTTAAAGAAAGCAGCTTTATGAGCCAAAAAAAATACTGTTTTGCCCTTCAGTATAAATAAACATTTTGCCTCTTATTTATATTTTTCTTGACATAGTTTATTTCAGGCCTCTATCATACCCTGTTTGAACTATTACAAGAACCTCCAAAGTGGCATAATTTCTAAAATTTCTCTATCAGCTGAAGTGAAATGTTAATACAAAATTGACAGAAATTTGTTAATGCATCTAACGTTAATAGACAAAGGATATAACTGTGTTATATACAGGTGTGTATATATAATATAATATATAAATTTTTCACTTCTTTTGGAAATAAAAAAATCATCACCATTAACAATAAATATTTAAGCAATTAAAAAAAAAGAAAGCAGCTTTAGGATCAGCAGCTGATATTGGAAGATAATTCAGAAAAACTTAGGCTTAGCTGGGATAAGTCCCTTTGTAAACATGGAACACTGAGCTCTCAGATGTCTATTGACTAGGAGGTTTAACTGCTTATCAGCAGAATTAAAGGAGGACTAAGGAAAACAGCACAATATGCCCCTCCAAAAATAAACAGTAACTACTATGTTCAGGAAGAGTTCAATTTTGAAATGGACGCTACAGACCTGAGGCCATAAAGGACCGTCCCATCTGGATGCAGGCGGATCATGCGGTTCTTGACAGTCACTCCATGCACAAACGACTTCTTATCGTTCAGGAAGTAAGTATCGGGCACCCAGAGCTGGTCTGCCACTCTATTGTCCAGAGTCAAGTTTAAAGGTATTACATTATAGGATAGCCTCTTATCTCTCCAAGCTTGCTGAAAGTACATTGTCAAGGTATAATCCTGTGAAATTGAGAAGATAAAAGAAAAAAAGCGTTAATTTGTACATAAACGGACTTGGGAGACAGGCAAACACTTCAATATTCACAAGAAAATATACACAACCAAATACCAAAAACATATACTATTCGCATATAGGCAAATATTAATTTACTAAACCCATTCTTACTGAGCCCGTACTATGTGTCGGGCACCACAGTATATACAGAAGTGAAGAGAGCATACATATCCTTGTGAAATTTATCATACATTATTCAGGAAGAAAGATGGTAAGAAATAATTATTTAATAATTAATTTGTCTTAAAGTGCGGTACCCAGGATTGTTTTAGGTGGAACATAAATACAATTGTAAAAAATGGTTAATTTATTACAGTAGTAATTATAAGAGTTTATAATGAGAATCTCAATCTGTCTGATCAAAGTGAATTTCCTAGTGGAGGTGACATTTATACTGAGACTAATGTAGCTTCCCACCTATCTAAAAAATATTAGCTCAGTTAGTATTTCATGACAATTTTTGGGATTCTGGATCATCAGGTTAGGCTCTTTCGTCTTGAGAAACTGTGCGTTGTTATAAAGTGAGCAGTGGTCTTAGAGTCCCAGGCTCCAGCATCTTCCAGCTATTTCTAGGAGTAAATTTACATAACTTATTTTCACTTCACTTCCTTAACTATAAATGGGCTTTTAATATATTCCTGATCTATCAGAAGATTATTATGACAATTAAACATAACTCAAATGCAATCTGTAGGCTTCCGAGAAGATGGCGGAAGAATAAGATGCGGAGATAAACTTCCTCTCCACAGATAACCCAGAAATACATCTACATGTGGAACAACTCCTACAGAACACCTACTGAACGCTGGCAGAAGACCTCAGACCTCCCAAAAGGCAAGAAACCACCCCACCACGTACCTGGGTAGGGCAAAAGAAAAAAGAATAAACAGAGACAAAGGAATAGGGACGGGACCTGCACCAGTGGGAGGGAGCCGTGAAGGAGGAAAGGAAGCCCCTTCGTGGGCCAAGACTGCGGGAGGCGGAGCGGGGAGCTTCAGAGCCCCGGAGGAGAGCGCAGCAACGGGGGTGCGGAGGGCAGAGCGGGGAGATTCCCGCACAGAGGATCGGCGCCGACCGGCTCTCACCAGCCCGTGAGGCTTGTCTGCTCACCCGCCGGGGTGGGTGGGGCTGCGAGTTGAGGCTCAGGCTTTGGTCTGAGCGACTAGAGAGGACTGGGATGGGAGGCGTGAGCACAGCTTGCAGGGGGTTAGTGCGCCACAGCTAGCCTGGAGAGAGTCTGGGAAAAGTCTGGAGCTGCCGAAGAGTCAAGAGACTTTTTCTTCCCTCTTTGTTTCCTGGTGCGCAAGGAGAGGGGATTAAGAGCGCAGCTTAAAGGAGCTCCAGAGACGGGCGCAAGCCGCGGCTAAAAGCGCAGACCTCAGAGACGGGCATGAGACGCTAAGGCTGCTGCTGCCGCCAACAAGAAGCCTGTGTGCGAGCACAGGTCACTATTCACACCCCGCTTCCAGGAAGACTGTGCAGCCCGCCACTGCCAGGGTCCCGGGATCCAGGGTCAACTCCTCCTGGACAACACACGGCGCACCTCAGGCTGGTGCAACGTCACGCCGCCCTCTGCCACCGCAAGCTCGCCCCGCACTCCGTGCCCCTCCCTCCCCCCGGCCTGAGTGAGCCAAAACCCCCAATCAGCGGCTCCTTTAACCCCGTCCTGTTTGAGCAAAAAACAGACGCCCTCCGGCAACCTACACGCAGAGGCGGGGCCAGATCCAAAGCTGAGCCCCTGGGAGCTGTGCGAACAAAGAAGAGAAAGGGAAATCTCTCCCAGCAGCCTCAGGAGCAGCAGATTAAAGCTCCACAATCAATTTGCTGTACCCTGCATCTGTGGAATATATGAATAGACAACAAATCATCCCAAATTAAGAAGGTGGATTTTGAGAGCAAGATTTATGATTTTTTCCCCTTTTCCTCTTTTTGTGAGTGTGTATTGTATGCTTCTGTGTGAGATTTTGTCTGTATAGCTTTGCTTCCACCATTTGTCCTAGGGTTCTATCCGTCCATTTTTTATTTAAATATTTTTCTTAATAATTATTTTTTTAGTAAGTTTATTTTACTTTATCTTCTGTTTTTCTTTCCTTCCTTCCCTCCTTTAGACAATGAATCATCCCAAATTGAGGAGGTAGACTTTGAGAGCAAAATTTATGATTTTTTTCCCCTTTTCCTCTTTTTGTGAGTGTGTATGTGTATGCTTCTGTGTGAGATTTTGTCTATATAGCATTGCTTCCACCATTTATCCTAGGGTTCTATCTGTCCTTTTTTATGTTTGTTTTTTAAATTTTTTTTCTTTTTTTTCTCTTAATAATTTTTTATTTTAATAACTTTATTATATTTTATCTTACTTTATTTAATTTTACTTTATCTCATTTCTTTTTTTCTTTCCTTCACTCCTTCCTTCCTTCCTCCCTCTCTCCTTTCTTTCTTTCTTTCTTTCTTTCTCTCTTTCTACTTCTACTAATTTTTTCTTTCTACTTTTTCTCCCTTATCTTCTGAGCTGTGTGGATGAAAAGCTCTTGGTGCTGCAGCCAGGAGACAGTGCTGTGCCTCTCATGTGGGAGAGCCAACTTCAGGACACTGGTCCACAAGAGACCTCACAGCTCCACAAAATATCAAATGGCGAAAATCTCCCAGAGATCTCCATCTCAACACCAGCACCCAGCTTCACTCAACGACCAGCAAGGTACAGTGCTGGACATCCTATGCCAAACAACTAGCCAGACAGGAACACAACCCCACCCATTAGCAGAGAGGCTGCCTAAAACCATACACCCCAAAACATACCACCAGACGTGGACATGCCCACCAGAAAGACAAGATCCAGCCTCATCCACCAGAACACAGGCACTAGTCCCCTCCACCAGGAAGCCTACACAACCCACTGAACCAACCTTAGCCACTGGGGACAGACACCAAAAACAACAGGAACTACAAATCCGCGGCCTGCAAAAAGGAGACCCCAAACACAGTAAGATAAGCAAAATGAGAAGACAGAAAAACACACAGCAGATGAAGGAGCAAGATAAAAACCCACCAGACCTAACAAATGAAGAGGAAATAGGCAGTCTACCTGAAAAAGAATTCAGAATAATGATAGTAAAGGTGATCCAAAATCTTGGAAATAGAATAGACAAAATGCAAGAAACATTTAACAAGGACCTAGAAGAACTAAAGATGAAACAAAAGACGAAGAACAACACAATAAATGAAATTTAAAATAGTCTAGATGGGATCAATAGCAGAATAACTGAGGCAGACGAACGGATAAGTGACCTGGAAGATAAAATAGTGGAAATAACTACTGGAGAGCAGAATAAAGAAAAAAGAATGAAGAGAACAGAGGACAGTCTCAGAGACCTCTGGGACAACATCAAATGCACCAACATTCTAATTATAGGGGTTCCAAAGAAGAAGAGAAAAAGAAAGGGACTGAGAAAATATTTGAAGAGATTATAGTTGAAAACTTCCCTAATATGGAAAAGGAAATAGTTAATCAAGTCCAGGAAGCACAGAGAGTCCCATACAGGATAAATCCAAGGAGAAATATGCCAAGACACATAATCATCAAACTGTCAAAAATTAAATACAAAGAAAACATATTAAAAGCAGCAAGGGGAAAACAACAAATAACACACAAGGGAATCCCCATAAGGTTAACAGCTGATCTTTCAACAGAAACTCTGCAAGCCAGAAGGGACTGGCAGGACATATTTAAAGTGATAAAGGAGAAAAAACTGCAACCAAGATTACTCTGCCCAGCAAGGATCTCATTCAGATTTAATGGAGAAATTAAAACCTTTACAGACAAGCAAAATCTGAGAGAGTTCAGCCCCACCAAACCAGCTTTACAACAACGGCTAAAGGAACTTCTCTAGGCAAGAAATACAAAAGAGGGAAAAGACCTACAATAACGAACCCAAAACAATTAAGAAAATGGGAATAGGAACATACATATCGATAATTACCTTAAATGTAAATGGACTAAATGATCCCACCAAAAGACACAGATTGGCTGAATGGATACAAAAACAAGACCCATATATTTGCTGTCTACAGGAGACCCACTTCAGACCTAGAGACACATACAGACTGAAAGTGAGGGGATAGAAAAAGGTATTTCATGCAAATGGAAACCAAAAGAAAGCTGGAGTAGCAATTCTCATATCAGACAAAATAGACTTTAAAATAAAGACTGTTAGAAGAGACAAAGAAGGACACTACATAATGATCAAGGGATCGATCCAAGAAGAAGATATAAGAATTGTAAATATTTATGCACCCAACATAGGAGCACCTCAATACATAAGGCAAATACTAACAGACATAAAAGGGGAAATCAATAATAACACATTCATAGTAGGAGACTTTAACACCCCACTTTCACCAATGGACAGATCATTCAAAATGAAAATAAATAAGGAGACACAAGCTTTAAATGATACATTAAACAAGATGGACTTAATTGATATTTATAGGACACTCCATCCAAAAACAACAGAATACACATTTTTCTCAAGTGCTCATGGAACATTCTCCAGGATAGATCATATCTTGGGTCACAAATCAAGCCTTGGTAAATTTAAGAAAATTGAAATTGTATCAAGTATCTTTTCCGACCACAACGCCATGAGACTAGATATCAATTATAGGAAAAGAGCTGTAAAAAATACAAACACACACATGGAGGCTAAACAATACACTACTAAATAATCAAGAGATCACTGAAGAAATCAAAGAGGAAATCAAAAAACACCTAGAAACAAATGACAATGAAAACATGATGACCCAAAAACTATGGGATGCAGCAAAAGCAGTTCTAAGAGGGAAGTTTATAGCAATACAATCCTACCTCACGAAACAGGAAACATCTCGAATAAATAACCTAAACTTGCACCAAAAGCAATTTGAGAAAGAAGAACAAAAAACCCCAAAGTTA